ACGAGAGATAAAAAAAGAATAATAAATTAATACTATCACTGTCATGTAGTGTGATTTAGTTCGTATGTTCTCAGTCCAGCTGTAATGTTTAATCACGGGTATCATTGGTATGAATAATCAAGAGTGGCCTCCCCTTGTTTTGTTACTTTCCTCTTTGAGAGAGAAAATTTCTGTTTACTGGGACTATAAAAGGACACTATACGCGAAGCTTGTAGAGATTTTCCAAGCGTAGCCCAGATGTGGAACAAGGCCGAAAGTATGGGGCACCCAGCGAGGATCGAACTCACTACCCAGTCATCATTGTGCTAGCAAGACAAGCTTGCTAACCATTACACCACCTCGAGGTGCCCTAAAATATGATTTTCTAAGCGTAGCTTAGATGTGTCACAAGGCCGACAGTATGAGGCACCCAGTGAGAATCAAACTCACTACTCAGTCGTAACTGTTTTAGCTAGACAAGCTTGCTAACCATTACACCAAGCCGAGGGGCCCTACGCGAAGCTTGTATCCTCAGTTGAATAAAGCTTTCTTAAACTTTTGTTATTGCAATCATATTCGGAGTTTACATGCACGCCCACGACGAAACGCAACGTAGAAGACCTGCATACCAATCCCTGTTAAAAGCCTTTGACATATCTAGAGCCGCGTTAGTTAAAATAACCCAGTGATTTGTCTCAAAGAGTTGTGAGTTCAATACCTAGCTACAGCGGTGGTGAACAAAATCTTGAAGAATTGAATTAAAGGGAAATAACTGATATTTAGATATCGCCCGAATGAGGCACGGCACGTGGAACTAGAACAATCTACCCCGGTGAGCGAAATAAAGGGTTCGATTCAAAATTCCAATCACCTGAAGAAGACCCGACCGTACAACAGGCGAAACGTCGTGAATATGATAGCAAACATGAGGGTAATAGTCCGAACATTGTAAATAGCGTAAATAATTACATTACCTCATTTCCGAAATATAGACAAATTCTGAAGAAGGCCGGATCGAACAAGGGCTGAAACGTTGTGAATATAGCAACGAAGATGTGGATAAACATCCGAACAATGTAAATAGTGTAAATAATTACAATACTTCATCTCAGAAATATAGACAAATCCTGAAGATGTACGGAGCGTACAAAAGTCGAAACGTAGTGAATATGGCAACAAAGATGAGGACAACAGTCCAAACATTGTAAATAGTATAAATAATTACAGAAATGTAGACAGATCCTGAAGAAGGCCAGAGCGTACAACCGTCTAAACGTCGTGAATATGATAATAAAGATGAGGATAACAGTCTGAACAATGTAAATAGGGTAAATAATTACAATACCTCATCTCAGAAATATAGACAGAGCCTGAAGAAGGACCGTCGTACAACGACCGAAACGTTTTGAATATGGCAATAAAGATGAGGACAATAGTCCGAACAAAGGATATAATTACAATACCTTATCTCAGAAATATAGACAGAGCCTGAAGAAGGACCGTCGTACAACGGCTGTAACTTTGTGAATATGGCAATAAAGATGAGGACAACAGTACGAACAATGTAAATAATTACAATACCTCATCTCAGAAATATAGACATATCCTGAAGAAATTGGGAGTGTAGAACGGCCGAAATGTTGTGAATATGTAAACAAATATGAGGACAACAGTCTGAACATTGTAAATAGTGTAAATAATTACAATAACTCATCTCAGAAATATAGACATATCCTGAAGAAGTTGGGAGTGTAGAACGGCCGAAACGTTGTTAATATGTAAACAAATATGAGGACAACAGTTTGAACATTGTAAATAGTGTAAATAATTACAATAACTCATCTCAGAAATATAGACATATCCTGAAGAAGTTGGGAGTGTAGAACGGCCGAAACGTTGTTAATATGTAAACAAATATGAGGACAACAGTCTGAACATTGTAAATAGTATAAATAATTACAATAACTCATCTCAGAAATATAGACAGATCCTGAAGAAATTGGGAGTGTAGAACGGCCGAAACGTTGTGAATATGTAAACAAATATGTCTGAACATTGAATATGTAAACAAAACTATCTCAGGACATATCCTGAAGAAGTTGGGAGTCCGAAACGTTGTTAATATGTAAACAAATATGAGGACAACAGTTTGAACATTGTAAATAATTACAATAACTCATCTCAGAAATATAGACATATCCTGAAGAAATTGGGAGTTGGAACGGCCGAAACGTTGTGAATATGTAAACAAATATGAGGACAACAGTCTGAACATTGTAAATAGTGTAAATAATTACAATAACTCATCTCAGAAATATAGACATATCCTGAAGAAGTTGGGAAGAACAAACGTTGTTAATATGTAAACAAATATGAGGACAACAGTTTGAACATTGTAAATAGTGTAAATAATTACAATAACTCATCTCAGAAATATAGACATATCCTGAAGAAGTTGGGAGGTAGAACGGCCGAAACGTTGTTAATATGTAAACAAATATGAGGACAACAGTTTGAACAT